GAAAAGTGAGCGGGAGGGACAAAGCCGGGGGTGGGCACGGCTGGGGAAGGGGGCAAAGGCATCTCTCAGCCTGTAATTTGGGTGGGGAAACCCAGGCTGGAGCATTGAGAAGCTGCTGTAATTAAACGGGGGGGGGATAACTCCTGGGGGATGTCTGCGCTCCCCCCACCCCAGGAGCCGGCTACGAAGAGGGTTTTGGGGTGCAAGCAATGGCATTACCTTGGCTGGAACGGAGCTGTCAGCGGCGGTGGGGGGGTGTAAACCCCCACGTGGGTGGAAATGGGGCTCCAGAGCCCCCCCAGCAAGCTGCCCTGCCTCAGTTTCCCTGCCTCCGAGGAGCAGGGCACCCAGCCTGCCTGTGCAGCACAAACACGCCGTGCATCTGCTTCTTGCTCCTGCTACTCTGCTGGGGGGGGTGGGGGGGGGACACCCACAGCCCAACTTCCCTCTTCCAGGCGAGGAATTTGTGGGATTTGCTTCCCCGGTGGAAGCTGAGGAGCAGCGAAGCTGTTGCAGGACCCCTCGGAGGATCTGGTTTCCTTCACCGCGCTGTAAGAAAAAAAAAAAAAAAAAAAAAACTGCTTTTACTTTCCAACACCCTCCTGCAAATTCGTTCCGGGCTCCGGAGCTTTCCCTCGGTCACGTTGTGAATCCGGCCGCAGCTAAGGATGGAAAATGCTCCAGGCTTCACACACACACCCCCCACAGCCCCCCCAAATCCGTCTTTGCCAGCCAACCCACCCCCCCCCCCCCCGATCTGAGGAGGGAAAGCTCCAGCCATGGTGCAACACAACCCAGCACCTGGAAAAAGGTCAGGAGAACAAGATGGAGCTCAAAACCGGTGAGTAATTAAACCTCCTCCTTAATGAGACTGTTGAATGTGTTAATAACTAGTAGCAGGTATAAATGAGGGGTGGAAGATCTAACCTGAGCTCAACGAGGAGCTGCGCTCAGTCACACCTTGGTTCAACCAGCGTGGCACCCAGATGCACCCAGGGCTTGTGGCTCCGCTCGCTGGGAGCAGATTTGGGAGGAAAAAGGGTGGTTGCAGCCCTGGATGGCCTGGCACTGAGGGGAATCCCATTCCCAGCTCCCTACCCGAACTGCCCAGATTTCATAGAATCATAGAATCATAGAGTCGTTTAGGTTGGAAGAGACCCTTGGGATCATGGAGTCCAACCACCTACCCTACTCTACAAAGTTCTTCCCTACACCATATCCCCCAACACCACATCTAAACGACTCTTCAACGCACCCAGGGATGGTGACTCAACCACCTCCCTGGGCAGCCTGTTCCAATGCCCGACCACTCTTTCTGGTCAGGCATTTCCCTCCTTTCTCCTCACTTGGCCCTAGTCCAGCAAAGCTCCTGAAATTGGGCTTTGAAGATGCACCAAATCCCCCTCCTCTCTCCCTGGTGGGTTGCTCCCCATCACCATCCCCCCTACTTTCCCCACCTCCCCCCCCTGTCGTGATGGTCCCATTGAAGCAAGGAGTCTGTGGATGCTTCTGGCAGACCCACAGCCATGGCATCTCTCCAGAGCCCTGTCATCAGGACATGTCCCCCGTAGCAGAGCCATCGTGGCTGCTCCGGGGTATCTCAGTGCTCCTGGCCCCGCTGTCTTCCCCCATCCCTGGGCTGATCTCCTGGACCACCCCACAGGGATCTGGGGTTTACAGCAGATGAGGCCAAGGGAAAAACCCACCCTGGAAAAAAAAGCCCTGGGCCAAATGACTCAACGGCACGTCACGTCAGGGAGGGCTGGGGGGACGGGAATGCGGGTTGTGTCACGGCAGAAAGCAAATGTCACCAGGACATGCTGGGGTCTGGGGTGCTGCTGGCACACTGCCTGGCACCACAGGGGTCTCCTTCTGGGAATAAACCAAATACCCCTCATTTCAGCTCAAAAACCTGCTGCCCCTCTCTGTTTCCTGCCCTTCAGAGCCGCCTGATCCAGGATCCAGCCAGCCCACCCCACGGCCACCCAGCTCTTGGGTGGGGGGGTCCTAACCACATCCCAGGGATCCTTTGTGGGGGGACGAGGGACGGGCAGCGGGGGGGTTCCCTCCTGCCCCACATGCCAGGCAGGACCCACACTGGGAAGCAGCCAGGCTCAGGTTTCTTCTCCAGGCTTTTCCAGAGCAAATTCCTCCCGAGAACAAACCCGTCAGCAAATTCTTGGGGAAACGGTTGCAGCTGTGAGCAGGAGGGACGATTGGGGGGGGTCTCAGGCCGGGCCCCGAGGAGCAGTGACTGGGTGGCAAGGGATGCTCCGGTCCCCGGGGCCACCGGGACCCTTCTCCCGCAGAGGCATCCGCGGGGCTGGATGCGGCTCGGCTCCTTCCCCGCAGGAATCCCTCTGCTTTCCCTGTTGTTTTTTTTTCCACCAGCCCCATCCAAGAGGGCAGGAACCATTCCCGGGGATGACCCCCCTCCTCTGCCCCGCCA